TTTGCACTCCTACAGCAGTTATGAAAGTGCCAACAATTTTTCTATCCTGTGTAGTAATGTTGTGAAGTTTTAGGACTTTTGCCAGTCCAATAGGCAAAAATGTATTTTATATTAGATTGTGTTGAGACTGTATTCTTTATACATGTTTAGGAGATACTTTTTTCACTCTGAATTATTGATCTTTTTTGTCATTATTTTCCTGTTAGGTTGCTGTTTCCTTGTTTTGTAGGATCTCTTTTTATATACTTGGAAGGTAAGCCCTTTGTCTGTGTATGATACAATTTTTTATGTCATGTTGTGCAATGCAGGAATTTTACTTTTATGTTACTGAATTTAGTAATTTATTTTATGAGCATTATGCTATGATTTTTAGTTAGAAAGATCTTTCCTACTCTTGGAAAAGCATAAATTTTAAAGTGTAAATTATATTTTCTTAATTTTCTTATTTTTGATCCATTAAAATGTGTCAGGTTAAAAGGCACAAGACATTGATCAACTTTTAAAAAAAATTCAGATGACTTTCCAGATCTGAGTGATATTTATTAAATAATCAATTCTTCCTCCTTGAGTTTTATTATAAATTCCATATATCCTTATTTTATTATTGATCTTTCCATTTATTTCCTCTATCAGTTGGTGTACCATGATCAGTTCTATACTATTTTAGTTAATGGGGTATATTTTAATATTTGATAGGGTTAGTCTACACCTTCATTGCTGTTTATCCTCTCCTAAGATAGTTCCCAAAAATTTTTGTTTGCTAATTTTTACATATGAGTCTCAGGATTAAATTACTTGATTTCATAAATAAACAAATACATATGTAAATAGAAAAGTTGGTATTTTTATTTAGTTCATGCTGAATTTATAACTTCAGATGGGGTAATTATGATACAGAATTTCCTCTCTAAGAACATGGTATATGTTTTTATTTGTTAAGATCTGTTTTGCATTGCTTGTTGCTTAATTTTCTTTAAAATTTGTTGCTACTGCAAATGAAATATTTTTTCATTATTTCCCATAACTTGTGTATATGAAAATTACACAAATTTACACTTTTATGTATTAATTTTATACCCTATTACTTTATTAAATTATCTCAATTTTCAAGTTATTTTCCAGTTTATTGTTTTAGGGACGTGTGTGGTATAGTTTCCAAATCTAGCCCCGAAAATATTCTAACCCTGTATCTTCTGTTCACAACGTGATGCTGATACTCCTCCATCATGAAGGAGGTGTCTGATTTCTTTCCTCTTGAATCTGGGCAGGGCTGTGACGACAGCAGAAGTGGCACTGTGTGACTTCTGATGCTGAGTCGTATTAGGAAACATCCTTTCCACCTGGACTTGTGGGGCCAGGCCACCACACTGAGACAAAGCCAAGGTAAAGACAACAGGCAACCACGTGAGGGAAAGCGAAGTAGCCACATGGAAAGGACACACGTCGTTGGTCCAGTCACAGTCACAGTCACAGCCGAGGTCTCAGTCAACAGCCAGTAGCAGCCACTGGCCATGCAAGTGAGCAAGTCTCCGGCGGATAACGTTAGTCCCCAGCCTTCAAGTCACCCAGCAGGTCACCTGCTTCTAAGTCCTTCAAGTTGCCTGCTTTAAGTCCCGCCTAAGTTGCAGAACTGTTAGCAAAGTGAATGTTGTTTTAAACCAGTAAGTTTTGGGGTGGTTTATTGGCAGTAAGAAATAACCAGGGCAGGTTTCGTGTACGTGTATTTGTTTAAAATCATATTAATAGAAAATCGTGATAGTTTAACCTTTTATTTGTAAAGTTCTGATTAATTTTTCCTAATTGTGATAAGGACCACACACTCAATGTGATGTATATTTCTCTCAGAATCCAGTAAGAAACTCTGATCAGTTTCCGTCTTTTCTAGTGGTAATGCATGAACAATGAAAGTATTACATTTCACTTCAGAGGCCATAGAATGACATGTCACACTCGGCTCACTGGAGCTCTAGAAAGGTAGATGGCCCTGGATTTTTGTTTCTGAAGGGGCCATTTATTTGTCTTCCTGAGGTATCTGGGGTAACGCTGCATCTTCCCAAGAGTATGACATGAGCAGTGTAATAGAAGCTTGATGTCCCATGGAATGATTATACAGTTAAGGTCACTGTTATAGATAGAATTGAAATAGCTTTTAAAACGATAGTGAAGGTGCTGTATACTGCTGTCGTTTTGTTGCAGGCAACTGAGTTAGATAGAAATATTATAGGCAGTCAGACAGGGCTAGGCCCTTGAAGAAGCCAGATATCTTGCAACTGTGGGCCAGACCTCAAGACAAAAGATGAAACAAATGCAGCCACATACCTCCCTACGGATAAACATCAGGGACTGATATTCTAAATAGGTGTCAGTCACCTTGAAAAAGCCAGGAAGAGCCACTAACCCTACTCCCCACAGGAGAAACCCCTGTTCTGTATTGATGCCCGCTTGCTACACGACTCACTTCCCTATTTGATCCCGATTTAATCAATTTTACCTGAGCAATTATACTCGTAATCTTACTGGTTGACCATAGTTTTGCCCACCTCATGCCCACCTTGTGATTTCCCATGTTTCCCACCTTGAACCCTCCTCACCTCATGGATGTGCTCTATAAAAATCCTTAGAAAAGGCAGGTTCCTTGGCAACCCATTCGGGACTCCTTCTGTCTCTCTCAGAGAGAAGCCTTCCTTCCCTCAATAAATACATTCTGCTCTTAACCTCCGTTGTTCCTAAAATTCATTTTTCAATTTTAGAGAACAGGAACTTGTACCAGAGATCTAGCAGGTTGGGAACTTCTTTCCCTTATATCACTTTCAGGACAACAGAAAGTTGTAATAGTTTCATATCATATTTCAGGGTTTATACTTGTGTACTCCAGCATAAAGGACACATTTCCTGGAGGAACCACATAAATAAATTAATGATACTTCATCATCATTCTCCAGAATCCATCAGTCTTTGTACACAGGAAGTGTCAGTTTGCTAGGACGGCCATAACAAAATGCCAGACTGGTGGTGGCTTAAACCACAGAGGTTTGGTTCCACACGGTTCTCAAAGCTGGAAAACCTAGTTTAAGGTGTCAGAGGTTTGGGTTCCTCTGAAGCCTCTGTTCTTGGCTTGTAGTTGGGCCTCAGGTGATCTTTCCTCGGGCATCATTCTTATAAAGATACCAGTCAGACTGGTTGAGAGCCCACCTTAATGGCCTCATTTTAGCTTAATAACCTGTTTAAAGGGTCTATCTCCAAGTGGGTCACACTCTGAGGTACTAGAGTTTAGGGTATAGGGCATTAATATCTGAATTTTAGGGGGAATGCAACTTAACCGATAATACAGGTCAAACAGGTAAGTTAAATGTAGAATGCAGCCACCAGTCTTGGATCTTTCATGTCTCTGATAGTGTTCTATCAAGTTAAAGCAGTTATTGTAAGCAGATGGTATTGCTTTGCTTTTCTGTTTTGATAGATTTTTGTTTGACCTTTCCTACTTACTAGTCCAACTCCATGAAGTAGAGAACGAGTACAGTGATGCTTCTAGGTGCAGTCTATATTTCTGTCCACCATGTTTTCCAAAATGGGGTATATAAATGCTGAGTGAATTTGCCATGTGGAACTTGGGCCTAATTCAAACATTGTCTCATATTAAAATCACAGCACTTCTTTTGTTTACCATTTTAAGTGTAGTTTTGCTTAAATTCTCAATCTTCCAAAATTCATTTTGTGTTTGTGTTCAAATACACAAGATAGAATTGGATTTTCCTTTGAGACCTAATCTGAAAATCTTTTTCTTTCAATACATGAATTAAACCTTTTATGTTTATTAATGTTGATATGTTTGACCACAGTTCTTTCATACTACCTTTTGATATGTGTATGTTTTCTACATAACTGTTAGTTGAACTTTTCTCCTTCAGGCTAAATTTTTAATAAAATAGTATGTTAAAACTGGGTATATAATATATACTGTGAAATATACACATTTACTAATTATTAAACTATATCTACTTTGGATATCTGTAGATAAATTACCAGGAGTATCCTAGAAACTTCTCTCTTTGCTGTTCAGGTGGAGATGGAGACTTCTGCAATAGTCAATGAGAATAATGAGCTTGCTTAATATGTGTATGCACAAGAAAGACAGAAAGAGAGAAAGAGAAACAGAGAGTGAGAGAGACAGAAACAGAGACAGAGACAGAGAAGGAGAGATTTCCATCATCTCTTAAATTACATTGCCAATTCAAATTTAGTAATAATTTCTTAAGTAAATAGTTTATATCACTGGTTATCTGTCCTCACATGGACATCCAACCCCTATATTTGTATTAAGTGTTTTTTATAACTCATATAACATTGTATTTCCTACTTTAAAAATCATTAAGGGAATTGAGATGTGTTATGTATGTGTACCAACTCCACACAAGAAATGTAAACATTATGTACTGTGAACACGTACTAGTAAAACTTAAACCAAATTATGGTCAAGATTATATAATTAATTGTTTGGAATTACTTTAAAAACATACCTTTTAAAATCAGAAACTTATAGAAACGAACAGGTACCCACTTTCAGCAGGTAACAGAGAGAACATAAAGGACGTGCCAATGTTAGGATTTTGAGACCATATGGACATTAGGTTTGGGTTGTCTGGCCTTTATCAGAGTTTGCGTCTGGTAAGACTGTTACAAAGTTAAATCAGAAGATCCAAGTACAGTCTGGGTTTTGACTAAGTTGATGCCATTTTTACTAATAGTGACCACTGAGGCAACTGTAACTTTATTGCAGTCAGAACCACCTATGCTATTGCTGTCCGGCCTGCAGAGTGGCCCCCGTGCATTATTCCACCATACTAGGCCAAAACACTGGCCTCGCAACTGCGCCTTTGACTTTACATGGTTCTCAACAAGAAACACAGTCACATCGCATTCTTCCTTGACTAAAGGGAAATATGATTGCAAAAATGAAAATCCGATGATCGAAGTTAATTACGAAACTAGAAAAGAAAAAAAAAGATGTCATCAGTAATGTATTTGGAAAGAATTCTTTAAAGCACAATGCGGGTGATTTGGGAAACCAGTGTATTTTGTACGTTATAGATATTTATATATCAAGGTGTCCTTCCTCAGGGGCAGGGTGGGCTGACGCCGTAGCTTCCGTCCAAGGTTTCTCTCCTGAGGAGAACAGTGGCGGCTCAAACTTGCTCTTCCCTTTACACTTGATCTCATTCCAACTTAGGCTTCTCTTTCTCTTCTTCCATACCTAGAAATAAAAGCGAAGTGCTTTATTTCAGCATCACAAGCAGGTTTGCCAAACTACTTACAACACCCTCATCTCCCACACTGTCCCCATCTACCCTCCCACACCTATTTCTCCTAGCTAAGAGGGAAAGGCCATTTACCATTTTCTCTAGAAACATCCTCACCCCCCCACACTCCCTGAATCAGGATGCAGTATTTCTGGGACACAGTAGCTTCCCGTGCTTTTGGGAGTGGGGACCACAAGTTGATTCTTGAGTTGCAGAGTTTGCTCAGAAAGCCTTGCTGGAGGACTTCTTTGTCAGCTTCCAGCAACTGGAGCCATACGGCCTAGGTCTTTCAAACAGACATCATTTTTGTTTTTTTAAACTTTACTTGTTGCTAAAAAATGCCTTCTTTCATGGTTTTACTTTTATTTAAAAATGTTTAAACCTCACAGGAACCTGGCTAGTTATTTCGGTATGCATTTATATTTTTGGAAGACTTTTTTACAAGTCTGAGGATTAAACCCCGGGCCTGGTGCATGCTAGGAAAGTGCTTCCCTGCTGAGTTACATCCAGCTCCACAGCCACTTGTCCTTCAACTCAAACTGTCCTTTAGTGAATCCTATCCTAAAACCCCACGCCTTTCTTCCCAAAGAACTGTGTGTCCTGAACCACTAAGACATCTGCCTACTGTCTGCAGTAGCCATGAACAGTCAGCCATGTTTCATTTTCCAGGGATGAAGGTGTTCGAGTCATTCTTAGGAATTTGAGCTCAGCTTGACAAGCGCTCCCTGCTTCTTGTTTCCTTTATCTCTAGTGAAACACTTTTCTAATCTTCCTACATTCTCGGACAATTCTTGGGTGTTTGTTTCCATAACAAGCATACAACAAAAGAATTCAAAATAGCACACTGAAGGTTTTGTTTGGTAGTATTCTTATACGAATCGCTAGCTCCCGAGGACAGGACCCTTACCTGATTTTATCCCCAGCACCTCAAACAGTGTCTGTCTCAGGGTTGGTGTGTAGGGGAGAGGGAAGCAGGAAGGGAGAGGGGGTAGGTTGGAAGCTCAGACAGTTGGACCAGCAGGAAATCAGAACAAAATACAGAGCCTTGCAATATCATAAATCATTAAGCCCAACCCCAGAGGGTCGTAATTCTAGACCTTGCATTAGGAAACCCCCTCGCATCTGCCAGGGCATGTTTCACGGGTTCAGAGGGCTGTAGCTGAATGGGGTGAATGCTCCCGTGGGTGTCTGTGTGTCGTCTTCTGTTGGGTTTTCACGGCTAGGGAAGTGGCAGAGACCTATCACATATTTTGCAAAGCACTCCTCACAAATCATATTTAGAGACACTTCCAAGTGAGGAGCAAGAACATCTCTCTGAAATGGGGAGGAACTGGGTGGAAGGCAAGAAGATCCAATGTGCCTTGCTGTTGGGTAGCTGAGGAAAAGGCAGGCAACACAGATTCATTCAGACTGTGCACACCACCGAGTCCCGACTTCCGTCCCACGTTCCCTCCTCCGAGGGTTCAGTAAGAGTTTACTTTTCTTCTGAAGGCTGTTTCCTCCAAGGGCTCTCCTGCTGATGGGCCGCAGTGGTGGCAATGGAGGGATCTTCATGGAAAACGGGCGCTCTATGACCTAGAGAAGGAAATGGCTCTCCACTTACTTTGGTTTGGCAGCCATGAGGTATGGTGGGGGGTGGGCAGACAGTAAACCATGTCTGGAAGAACCAGAAGTATAATTTCCACATAAAAAGCACAAAGAAACCTGCCACAGAGCTGAAGTAGCCTGTGCTTGTGGAATCAGACTCATGCCCGCTGACGGAGGCAGTCCCAGGCATGTCCCCAGTCTGGGAGAGGGGCTCCTCCTGAGACAGCGCCTCGACATTTCCAGCTTGGTGGGCCTGCAGGAAAAGCGGCCTGGATGGACGTCTGCACACCCAGGCCTGACCCTAACCTCTCCTTCCTCCTTTCTGGGGCAGGACCCTTTTGTCTGATACCTTGGGCCCCTGTGAATTGCACAAGAGGTCAATACAGTTTTGAGAATTTTATACCAACAGAAACACTGCCAGTGTGGCTTGTAAAGGACAGGGACGACATGGAATTAAAGAGCAGGGGCTCCAAAGTGGCTCAGAGACTCAAACTCCTTTGGTTCCAAGGGGTGGGGCTCTGCCCAGGGCCAGTGGGGCAGAGCTGCTGGTCCCAGGGGAAAAGGCTGGGTGACCTCTTTCCCCAGGAGTCTTCAGAACACAGCATCCAGCCAAAGAGGACTGTCTGTCGCCTTCAGATGGGAGGGAGCTCTCCCTGCTCAGCATCAGGCTTGCGCAGGAACCATGAGCCCTTTCCTCCTGTCCTTTCTCCTCTGGGAAGATGAATGTGTATTCTACGCCTGCCCCACCACTGGGTTTCAGAACAGGTAACACTGTGTCTTGTTTCACAGCTTCACACACAGCTGGTAAGCAATTTTCCTTTCAGACCAATCAGACCCAGAGTCTGTCCCATACCTGATTCATGTATATTCAAGATGCGATGGTTGGATTTAAGAGTTGATGTTGGAGAAAAAGGGGGGGGCAATGGGATGGGATGAATATGTTTTGCATGTGCAAATGACATGAATTTTTCAAGGGGAGAGAGTGGAGTGTTATGGGCTAAATTATGACCCCCCAACTCATATGTTTAATTTCTAATCCACAGTGCTCAGTGCCTTATTTGGATGGGGTCTTTGCAAATGTAAAGTGGTGTCATCAGGGTGGGCCCCCACTAGATGTGATTGGTGTCCTTATAAAATAGGAAGCTGGGAAGGGTCACACATACAGAGAGGATGCCAGTGACCAGGAAGATGGGTAACTGCAGCCCTGGAGAAACTGGGAATAGATGTTTTCCTCCCAGGTCTCATAAGGAACCAATCCTGCTAATACTTTGGCCTGGGGCTTCCAGCCTTTACACGTATGGCCAACAAATTCCAACTGTTTAAGCCTCCACTTTTGTGGAGCTTCATTACTTCAGCCCTAGCAAACTCCACTTCTCCATATCATCACGACTCACTTTCCTTTCTCACAAAGCAAATACTTGCTTGTCAACTTAGCCCATTTTAAGGGTTTCTGAAAGTTCCTGCTTTCTAGCAGGTTGGTTTCTTCTGTTATTTTATTAAACTGAGTCTGGGGTTCTGAATGAAGCCCCTGTGCTCTTATATATCTAGGTTTCCAAAACATGGCAAGGCCACTCTGGTAGTTCACTAGAAGTAATGCTGGACGGTGTTCTGGGCAGAAGGCTTCGGCTCTTGCCAAAGCTAAGGCTGAATGATCTCAAGTTTGAGCCTAGCCTGGACAATTTAGTGACTTAATGAGACCCTATCTCAAAATAAATAAATAAATAAATAAAATAAAAAAATAAAAAATAAAAAAAATTTAAAAATATTAGATAAAAATAAAAAAGGCTGGAGATGTGGAGTTCAATTGCTTGTACTGGGGGAAAAATGTTGGCTCTGCCACCAACTATTTTGGTGGATCACTGAAGACATCTGGGCCTCAGCTCCCTTTGAAAAAAGGCAAGGGTTGGTAAAGCCCTATAAAACTTCTTAAGGGGTAAGATCTGGGGTAAGGCCAGTGGCTTGTGACCATTAATATAAGTGGGAAGATATCTACTTAACAGAAAAAATCAGTCTCTATGGAATCATCTAGATAGATACAAACAAAATCTGTGTATCTGAAATGAGTTACAAAATGTTACTCAGCCTTACCTATGTTATGCAGGAGAATTGCACAAACTACACTGACTAGGCCATTTGTAAAAACTGTCACTGTTCATTTTAACTCCTCATTTAAAGCTGCTGAGACACAATATTGTTTAAAAATCTAGATTGGAAATTTATCTCTTCTGCTTTAGGTCATTTACTCACAGAAGTGTTAGAACAATGGCCAAATGACTGTCAGAATCAAGCAAATTAAAAAGACATAAACAGTCAGAAATCTTTTCTATACTGAACATATTAGCTTAAATCTAAATGCATGCTCTTTGCTAGTAGGGTGAGAAAGTTAGCTGTTTTTTAAAAAGATTTGTGTAAGTTAACTAGATACTTCTATAAACGAACAGAGAAAGATTACTTCCATTGAACAGAGGGAACACAAGGAAAAGATTTCATTTCTGGTTTCCCAAGTGGTGGCCTTAACTGAATAAAGAAAAGACATCTTTTAAATAGACAACTTACTGAACTACAAGCTGCTGATGTAGTTCCTGCGCACCACTTAACCTGGACCAAGACCTTGACCCATACAGTCTTAGAAGAGCAATGAACAAAAACATCTGATCCAATGACTAAGTCATCACTGTGCTTTATTTATGTGTTAGATTGGGTTCCTGGGGATCAGCACAACGTAGGGCATTCACTGTCCATGGCACACAGCCCGCTTACAGGTGCCATCTAGAAGGCTGTGTCAGAGAGATGTCCAGAGCTCTTTAAATCCCCCTGCCATCTTGCTGTGGGATGTATTTCCATGCAGGACTCAAATCACTGTATGTCTGTGCTGTTCTTTTCCCACATTCCAGTGTTTATGTTATCTTACATACACTTTGGGCAGGCTGTGCAGAGCTTGGGCAAGATTACATGCTTGTTAAGATGGAGGCTCTGCCGTAAATGGAAACAAACAGAAGTCAAATCACAGGGTAAGAGAGGTGTTGCAGCACTGATGAGCAGTCATTACCTGTACCTGTTTGCCACCTTTGAACCTTAAAGAGCACAGTCACTGGGACACCCCTCGGCCAGAGGCTTTCTGCACTGCTTGGAGTTCTAGCCACGTGGGGTGGAACCCGCTGAGACCACTGCAAGGGCAGATATCTGGGTGACTTTTAGGAGACTGTTTAGTTACATTAATGGCTTACTATTTAATTTGGGGTCCTTTTAGTGTAGGTGGCATTTTGTTAGTCAGAGCAACCTTCTCTAACTTTCTTTTCTGTTAACACTATATTTTTCCCTATAAAATTTTACAGACACACTTTCTTCCTCCTTAAAGTTGGATGTTTTACTAGCTAATAAGACTGAATGAATAGTAAATCTTTGAGGTGAAACTGCCAGCAGCTCCTAAATTAATACGATCGTGATAAATCTGAAACTTCTGAAGAGGGTCCGTGGAAAGGCTCAGCGAGCAGGCAGCTGTGGAGCTTCCCTCTGTCTCTGCGAGAGCGCCGGTGGGCGGCACTTCCCTTGTTTTATGTCCCCCCAAACGATACTTACTTCTCTGTGTATCCCAGATATAGCTGTTCAGAACTTCTCCCAGAAGGTACAGAAAGTTCATTAAGATGGTTGTGGACCCAAAGAAGATGATTCTGGCTCCGGAGCCAATGTGTTCCAGGAAAGGGTACACCCACATGCCGGTGACATGATGCACCCAGCACACCCTGCCACAGGATTGCAAAGGAGACAGCAAAGGAGTTACTCTCGCGGCAGATGTCAGCGCTGCAGTGATACAAGTGCACACCCCCACAGCCCCTCGTCAGCAGTTCTGCCTGCAGCCCTTCTGCCGGTCACAAGCTTGCTTCTGAGACTTTGGAGCTACTAGAGTTTGTTGCTTTTGCTTTTTGTTCTGAAATGATTTTAGACTCACTGAAGAGGTGCAAATACGGGACAGAGAGTCCTTCTATGTCCCACACTCAGCCTGCTAACATCTTGATAACACCTGGCATAATACCAGAATGGTTACAACAACTAAGCAGTTAACATTGGTACACTAGTGCTAACTGAAGTACAGATCTTATTCAAAATTCCTTGGTGTTTCCATTAATGTCTGTTCTCTGATCCAGGGTCCACTCAAGGGCCCCACATTGCGACTAGTGACATGTTTCCTTAGTCTCTCTGTGATTCCTTGGTCTCTCCTTGCCTTTGATAACACTTCAAGGATTTTTGCCAGATATTTGAAACTGCCGGGCTATTGCACACTGTTACACAATCTTTTCAATCTCTTCTTTACATAATAAAACCGTGTAACATTTGGCAATCGCCCTGTAATAAAACCTGGGTGAGGAAATGTCAGGTATCTTGCCAACCACCTTTCAACCAGACACGAACATGGATTGTACAGACGGCGGAACCATCCTACGACCTAGCAGATACCAGCATTCCTGCTCCTCTGATCTCCAACTCTTACACTTACTTCACTTTTTACATTTTTACATCCTTACTTGTAATCATTCTATTTGTGTTCTGAAGATATTTTTGTTGTGGTGAGAAGAATATCCTTTGCTACTGCCTTCAGGAATTAGAATAACTGGTGCATTGGCTAGGTCCTGACATGAATACTGACAGCTGTTTTCCAAAATATTCTAGGGATTATTACTTCATTGAATAGCCATTCTGAAGACCAATAAAATACCAATAACTTTATTCCATTGGTAATAAAGATTGCTTTTTATACTTATGTGTTTGGGGGTTATTTTTCATTTTTTTTCCACGGCTTTACTTTTTAGCAGTGTGCCTACATCTACAGTAGCTTACACACATACTCCATTTTGAGGCAGGAATCCTAAAGGTCTTGACTTTTGAGCTTGAATTACTGATGAGGGTGACCCCACTCCCATGGAGATGAAAATGCATTCTGAGTGTGGTGAAACTGATACGGGGGAAAAAAAAACCTAAACCAATGACATTTTGTGTTCTAGCGCCATTCTAAAACTTAAATTTCTGTATCCTTAAGTTTGTTTCTTGTAAATGTTGTCACAGACACCTAACCCAGTACCACCTCATGCTCTGTCATGAGACTGTCCCTTACATAAAATGTCAAACACCTTTGTTCCTTTGTCACAAGCTAAGCCCATGTTTGGCAGTATTTCTATAGCTGCACTAAATCATACCAGCACCACCACCCCCAGGCCCAGAACTAGACCCAGAACTAGAACTGTATAACTCTTCTCCCCTCCTGCCCTTTGGGTTCGGTGCTCGGTCACGTACCGGGTGCCCACCGCCGGCCCCCAACCAACTTGCTTGTCTCTGCATCTTCCCTCCGCGGGTGACTCAATTAAATAAGCGTGTTTGCCACAACAAAACAATCATACTTTTTAATGTAGAAAGCATGTACACACAGCTAAAAATCATATATACAGAAACATAAATATATAAACACACAGAAACTATTGTGTATATGTATACACAGTGTATCTGTGACATTAAAATTTCATGGATCATCAATTCCATGCCTAGGTATATGTCTAAAATTGAAAGCAGGGACGTTAACAGGTATTTGTGCACCAAGGGTCACAGTTGAAATAAGCCAAGTGTCCAGCCACTGATGAATAAGTGAAATTATATATATGCAATTATATATATATATAGTATATATATATGTGTACTATATATATATATATATATATATATATATATATATATATATAACTCAACCACGAGAATAACGAAATTTTGTGGGCTTTTTTTTTTGTTTTTCTCCAGTACCAGGAATTGAACTCACAACCTTGCGCTTGCCAGGCAGGCGCTGTGCCGCTGAGCTAAATCCCCAGCCCCTGAAATTTTGATGTATCTTACAACATGGATAAACTTTGAAGAGATTATGCTAAGCAGAATAAACCAGATACAGTACAATTATTGTATGATTCCACTTACATGAGGCACTGCAGATAAGCAAATGCAGACACAGCACAGCAGAGGCTGCTGGGGGTTGAGAGGAGTAGAGAGTGCGAAGTCTACACTGGGGATGACGGGAAGTTTTGGGTCCAGAGGGTAGCGATGGTTACATAACAGCACAGACACATTTAATGACAGCTGTCCAATGGTTCAATGATAAATATTCTTTAGGTATATTTTATCAAAATAAGAAGTTTCCATGGAGTGGAGATTAGGGAAATCTACAAAGGCTCTTTGCTTGGGGAAGGCAGTAATGAAAGAAAGATTGAGAAACCCTGCTGTACAGCGAAGAAACATTCATGTGGGGCTACCTGAGTCAGTCTGCATAACTGTCCGAATGCAAAGATATTTTATCAGAAAAGGGGGCCATGTTTGTAAAAGTAAAATTTTTTGGAAACTAAAGCATTTATGAGATTCAGTGAAAATTAAATTTTAGAATTATCCTGTGGGATACTTATATATCATGTTCTGTTTGTTTCTAAGTCAAACAGTTTTATCTTTCCAATTTCTTTGTTTTTGTCTTTTTGAGACAGGGTCTCACTATGTAGTCCAAGCTAGCCTTGAACTGACAGCAAGCCTCCTGCCTCAGCCTCCCTAGTGCAAGAATTACAGGCATTTGCCACCACGCCCAGCTTCTCCCTAACCTTACCTGATGTAAGGTGCTGTGCATCCATCAAGTGGCTTATTAATTTCCATGGAGATAATATGCAATATCCCCCAAATGTAATACCATAATGCTGTAATTACTTTCTGCAAAGTCAACTTATGAAACTATAATCTGACTCACTGTAAAACTATTACCTCAATTAGATATATCAGGAACAATTCTAATTATAAATGCTAATTATATTTTTTATAGCGGATCTTGGTATTCTACTTGCTTCTGGTAGAACTAACCTTTCTTTTGTAGCTTTTGGGGTATCTCTGATGCTAGGTCTAACACATCTACTTTTTAGATGTTGTTGGCAACACATCTTTGATGTGTATAGCATCATCCTACAGTGCCAATCAGGTATGACAATAACCACATTCTGCCTAACCTTAGATGACTTTATCTACATCTCCAGCCTGGAGCATTCCTCTGAATTTGATAATTCCAAATCCAGTTATGCACTGCACATCTCCCCATGGACGTCCAGTGGCATTTCTAATGGAATGTTTCCATGTGAACATCTTCCCTGTGCTCCGATTCTTCCACATCCCCTGCCTCTCTCACCCCTGTTGCTCAATGGCAAACATATCTCTCTGGCATCTCTCACTTCCTAAATTGATGACCGCTACATTACTCCAGTAGGAGCTGGGGTCAGAAAAGATGGAGCAGAGCTGGCGTGGTGGTGCACGCCTGTAACCCTAGCACTTAGGAGGATCACTGCAAGTTTGAGGTCAGCCTGGGCTACTAAGCCAGCCTGAACTACACAGTGAAACCCTGTCTCAAAAAAAAAAAAAAAAAAAAAAAAAAAAAAAAAAAAAAAAAAAAAAGAAAGAAAGAAAAGCTGGAATTGTAGTTGATGCTTCTTTTTTTCATAACCCACATCCCAATAAATCCTTTCCACCACTTTCCAAATAGTCATCATTCAATATCCTTAGGGAATCAGTTCTAATATTCCTGCAGATACCAAAACCCATGGACGCAAGCATTTCAGATAAGATGGTGTAACATTTGCATCTTACCTATGCAGATCTCCTGTACACGTTAAGTCATGGGTAGATTACTCACACTACCCAATGTGACACAAATGCTGTGTGAGTAGTTCTCACACGGTACTGTTTAGTGAATGACAACAAAAAGTCAGTACATGTTCAGCACTGACGAATTGCTTTTCCGAAGACTTCTGATCTGTGGTCAGCTGAATCTGGAGCTGTGGGGCCAGCTGCATACCCGACACACCTGCCTCCCACCTCACCCCCACTACCACCCGAGCGCAGGTCAGTGCCACCTCTCGGCTTTCACCCTCACTGCGTCCCCCTTGCAGTCTGCATTGTGGCAGCCAGGCAGACCCGGATTCAGTGCAAGCCAGGCCTTGCGATTGTTTTCCTGGAAACTCGTGCTTGTTCTTTCAATCAGAGAAAAGCCCGGGTCCCTGGGTAGTTAGGGCCTGGCCTCAGCGCCCCAGCCCTTTCCTAACTTCATCTCTGCTCTTCTCCCTCTTGCTTGCTCCTTCCAGCCATCCTGCCCGCCTGTGATTCCTGAGCAGAGCGAGCACTTTTGTCTCTGGGCCCCACTTTGGTCTCCTGCTGGAGCACTCCTCCTCCTCCTTCCTGCCCTCAGCTTCCCAGGGCTGCCTGCATCCTTTAGGCTTGCACTCAAATGTCACTTCCTCAGTGACATGTCCTCTGGCCACTGTGCCTAAAATCTGCAGTTCCCATCCTGAAACTCTCTGTTCTCCATCCCCTTTCCACTTACCTGTCTATTGGCGGCCTCACAGGCACAGACACTTTTTCTGCTACTTTGACTATGGCATCCTCAGCTCCTACTGTGTAACAGGAACATTGCCCATAACGTAAGAAAATCTAAAAAAGAAGTGCCCTCTGTCACTCTGTTGGCTTAAATCTAGGGCTGGCCAGTCTTTTCTGCAAAGGACCAGAGAGTAAATATTCTCGGCGATGCTGGCTGCCACACGGACGCTGTCACAGGGCTCAGCCTCATCGATGTCACCCCGGCCTCCGTGGTGCAAACACAGCCAGAGATCATATGTAGGCAAGTGAATGTGCTCTGGCAGGACTTTGCTAGGGGCGCTGAAATCTGAATTTCATACAATTCTCACAT